AGGGACTGCTAGAGAGACTGCTGCCAGATTACAGGGACTGCTAGAGAGACTGCTGCCAGATTACAGGGACTGCTAGAGAGACTGCTGCCGGATTACAGGGGACTGCTAGAGAGACTGCTGCCAGATTACAGGGGACTGCTAGAGAGACTGCTGCCAGATTACAGGGGACTGCTAGAGAGACTGCTGCCAGATTACAGGGGACTGCTAGAGAGACTGCTGCCAGATTACAGGGACTGCTAGAGAGACTGCTGCCGGATTACAGGGACTGCTAGAGACTGCTGCCAGATTACAGGGACTGCTAGAGAGACTGCTGCCAGATTACAGGGGACTGCTAGAGAGACTGCTGCCAGATTACAGGGGACTGCTAGAGAGACTGCTGCCAGATTACAGGGACTGCTAGAGAGAGACTGCTGCCAGATTACAGGGACTGCTAGAGACTGCTGCCAGATTACAGGGGACTGCTAGAGAGACTGCTGCCAGATTACAGGGACTGCTGCCAGATTACAGGGACTGCTGCCAGATTACAGGGGACTGCTAGAGAGACTGCTAGAGACTGCTGCCAGATTACAGGGGACTGCTAGAAAAACTGCTGCCAGATTACAGGGGACTGCTAGAGAGACTGCTGCCAGATTACAGGGACTGCTAGAGAGACTGCTGCCAGATTACAGGGACTGCTAGAGAGACTGCTGCCAGATTACAGGGGACTGCTAGAGAGACTGCTGCCAGATTACAGGGACTGCTGCCAGATTACAGGGACTGCTGCCAGATTACAGGGGACTGCTAGAGAGACTGCTAGAGACTGCTGCCAGATTACAGGGGACTGCTAGAGAAACTGCTGCCAGATTACAGAGGACTGCTAGAAAAACTGCTGCCAGATTACAGGAGACTGCTAGAGAGACTGCTGCCAGATTACAGGGACTGCTAGAGAGACTGCTGCCGGATTACAGGGGACTGCTAGAGAGACTGCTGCCGGATTACAGGGACTGCTAGAGAGACTGCTAGAGACTGCTGCCAGATTACAGGGGACTGCTAGAGAGACTGCTGCCAGATTACAGGGACTGCTAGAGAGACTGCTGCCAGATTACAGGGACTGCTAGAGAGACTGCTGCCAGATTACAGGGGACTGCTAGAGAGACTGCTGCCAGATTACAGGGGACTGCTAGAGGACTGCTGCCAGATTACAGGGGACTGCTAGAGAGACTGCTGCTGCTGCCAGATTACAGGGGACTGCTAGAGAGACTGCTGCCAGATTACAGGGGACTGCTAGAGAGACTGCTGCCAGATTACAGGGACTGCTAGAGAGACTGCTGCCAGATTACAGGGGACTGCTAGAGAGACTGCTGCCAGATTACAGGGGACTGCACTGCTAGAGAGACTGCTGCCAGATTACAGGAGACTGCTAGAGAGACTGCTGCCAGATTACAGGGGACTGCTAGAGAGACTGCTGCCAGATTATAGGGGACTGCTAGAGAGACTAGACTGCTAGAGACTGCTGCCAGATAAGGGACTGCTAGAGAGACTGCTGCCAGATTACAGGGGACTGCTAGAGAGACTGCTGACAGATTACAGGGACTGCTAGAGAGACCGCTGCCAGATTACAGGGGAGGGACTAGAGACTGCCAGTTTGACCGTTCCTGTACCAGTCTGCAGTCTCTGAGGTAGAGAGGGACCAATCTGCTGTACTGTGCTCGCAGTCTCTGACTGTCTCCTGTACCATGTCTGCAGTCTCTGGTCATCTCCTGTACTGTGTCCGCTGTCTCTGGTCTCCTGTACCGTGTCCGCAGTCTCTGGTCATCTCCTGTACCGTGTCCGCAGTCTCTGGTCATCTCCTGTACCGTGTCCGCAGTCTCTGGTCATCTCCTGTACTGTGTCCGCAGTCTCTGGTCATCTCCTGTACCGTGTCCGCAGTCTCTGGTCATCTCCTGTACTGTGTCCGCAGTCCCTGGTCATCTCCTGTACTGTGTCCGCAGTCCCTGGTCATCTCCTGTACTGTGTCCGCAGTCTCCTGGTCATCCCCTGTACTGTGTCCGCAGTCTCTGGTCATCTCCTGTACTGTGTCCGCAGTCTCTGGTCATCTCCTGTACTATGTCCGCAGTCTCTGGTCATCTCCTGTACTGTGTCCGCAGTCTCTGGTCATCTCCTGTACTATGTCCGCAGTCTCTGGTCATCTCCTGTATCATGTCCGCAGTCTCTGGTCATGTCATACAGATTCTGGTGGGAAAGGAACTATTGTAGGGAGGTTCCTCGTCTACATAGATGTGAGGCGGGGGGTGTCTGGCCCAGCCGACTTCACTCTCACTTTTTGGTTCCCATCCCTATTGTTTATCCCGCATCCCCTGAGGTGACGCCGGGCCGGCATACAACCAGTTCAGGTAGAACTCCTCCCCAGAAGGCCGTCATCACCTCGGTGTGTTTTACTGTCTCTGGTGTCTCTCAGCTTTCATGTTCGTGTTTTATGGTGGGACCTGTTTTTCTGGTCCGGCCTTGTTTGTGACATGTTTGTGGTGCCATCATGGGAGGTAAACCAGTTTTATTGACTGTGAAACTATTTATGAACTTCGCACAAAATGCTGAACTTTGTCACACCAAATTCCGATTCTTCGGTGAATCTCTGCCGGTCTCCACCATGTCCTAGGCCGACCGTTCTCCACCATGTCCTAGGCCGACCGTTCTCCACCATGTCCTAGGCCGACCGTTCTCCACCATGTCCTAGACCATGTCCTAGGCCCCGTTCTCCACCATGTCCTAGGCCGACCGTTCTCCGCCATGTCCTAGGCCGACCGTTCTCCGCCATGTCCTAGGCCGACCGTTAGGCCTCCGCCATGTCCTAGGCCGACCGTTCTCCACCGTGTCCTAGGCCGACCGTTCTCCATGTCCTGGGCCGACCGTTCTCCGCCATGTCCTAGGCCGAACGTGTCCTAGACCGGCCGCCATGTCCTGGGCCGGCCGTTGTCCTCCGCCATGTCCTGGGCCGGCCGCTGTCCGCCATGTCCACCGTGGGCCGACCGCCGTCCTGTCCGTTGTCCACCGTGTCCTGGGCCGGCCGCTGTCCGCCATGTCCTGGGCCGGCCGCTGTCCACCATGTCCACCGGCCGTTGTCCTGTCCTAGGCCGGCCGCTGTCCGCCACCGTGTCCTGGGCCGGCCGCTGTCCGCCATGTCCTGGGCCGGCCGCTGTCCGCCACCGTGTCCTGGGCCGACCGGCCGCTGTCCGCCATGTCCTGGGCCGGCCGTCCACCTGTCCTGGGCCCGTCCATGCCATGGGCCGGCCGCTCTCCACCGTGTCATGGGCCGGCCACCTATCTGAGGGCCCTTGCCATGGGCCGGCCCTCTGACCCCAAGGAACCTTTCTCCGCTGACTTACCAATGTACGGGAGGGTCTTCACCACCGACCATTGATGGAAGAGGGAACCTTTGTACAGAATGGGGCCTTCTGCACTCATCAAAAATGTAAAGAACATCCTCCTTCCAACTGTCCACCAATGTGAAGGGTCCTTTATCCCACCGCCCAGAAGTATAAGAGAACCTTCTGACCACCAATGTAGGGGGACCTTCTCTCTTGACCTTCAATGTAAGGGAGATTTTTCCTACAACTGTCCCAGACCTGGGAACTCAGCACAGGGATGGTGGGAACCCCTCATAATGTACACAGCTGGTGTACAGACCCGGGAACTCAGCACAGGGACGGTGGGAACCCCTCATAACGGGCACAGTGGGCGTACAGACCAGGGAACTCAGCACATGGATGGTGGGAACCCCTCATAACGGGCACAGCGGGCGTACAGACCCGGGAACTCAGCACAGAGATGGTGGGAACCCCTCATAATGGGCACAGCGGGGGTACAGACCTGGGAACTCGGCACAGGGATGTTGGGAACCCCTCATAATGGGCACAGCGGGCGTACAGACCCGGGAACTCAGCACAGGGATGGTGGGAACCCCTCATAATGGGCCCAGTGGGTGTAAAGACCTGGGAACTCGGCACAGGGATGGTGGGAACCCCTCATAATGGGCCCAGTGGGTGTAAAGACCCCTCATAACAAATAGAAATCTCACCAAAGGAGTCCCTGAGAGAAGGCTGTGAAGGGATTTCCTATAACAGACTCTGCAATATCCTGGGGAAGTATTATAGGAGCCGTGTGTCGTGGACCCTCCATGTTGGTGACCTTCCTCCCGGCATCATTGGCCCCTGGCCCCGGGCCCCGGGCCCCGTACACATGGACATCTGTCAGACATCTGGTCCCATAGTGAGCTCTCCTGCTGTTCTCCACTCTGGGAAGCTGCGCCATTCCCACGCTGCGGAGTTCCCCCAACACATGAATGATGATCGTCAGCAGAGAGGCGACCTCCCTGATCGGGACTGTCAGCCGAACGATTCCAGAGAAGATGTCACATGACTCTGTATTATTGTCACCTGATCCCAGAGATGTACAGAGTCCGATAGATACAATATACCCCCCCATCCCCCCGTCCCATACATCAGGGTCCCCATCACCCATCAGAGTCCCCATCACCCATCGAACCGTCCCATACATCAGGGTCCCCATCACCCATCAGAGTCCCCATCCCCCATCCCCCCGTCCCATACATCAGGGTCCCCATCACCCATCGAACCGTCCCATACATCAGGGTCCCCATCACCCATCAGGTCCCCATCCCCCATCGAACCGTCCCATACATCAGGGTCCCCATCACCCATCAGGGTCCCCATCCCCCATCGAACCGTCCCATACATCAGGGTCGCCATCACCCATCAGAGTCCCCACCAGGGTCCCTCTGTACATCAGGGTTTCCCTTTACATAGTGTCCCCCATTACAGCCCCCCCTTACATTAGGGTCCCCATCAGAGAGTCCCCCCCAGGAGTCCCCCCTTACATCAGGGTCCTCCCTTACATCAGGGTCCCCATCGGAGTCCCACCTTACATCATGGTCCCCATTGGGTCCCCCCCTTACATCAGGGTCCACATGACTCTCCCCTTACATCAGGGTCCCCCCCTTACATCAGGGTCCCCATCCTTATATCAGGGTGCCCATCAGGGTCCCCCACTTACATCAGTGTCCCCCCCCATACAGCAGGGGTCCCCCCCTTACATCAGTGTCCCCCCCACATCAGGGTTCCCCCTTACATCAGGGTCCCCCCAGGAGTCTACCCTTACATCAGGGTCCCCCCAGGAGTCAGGGTCCCCCCTTACATCAGGGTCCCCCTTGGGTCCCCCCTTACATCAGGGTCCCCCTTGGAGTCCCCCCTTACATCAGGGTCCCCCTAGGAGTCCCACCTTACATCAGGGTCCCCCCCTTACATCAGGGTCCACATTAGTCCCCCTTACATCAAGGGGCCCATCAGGGTCCCCCCTTTACATCAGGGTCCCCCCTTTACATCAGTGTCCCCCCCACATCAGGGTTCCCCCTTTCATCAAGGTCCCCATCCTTATATCAGAGTTCCCATCAGGGTCCCCCCCTTACATCAGGGTCCCCCCTTTACATCAGGGTCCCCCCTTTACATCAGGGTCCCTCTTGAATTTCCCCCTAACATCAAAGTTCCCATCAGAAGTTGGAATTCCTACACACTGGCAGTTACAGGCTGTAGTTATAATGAAGTATATTACACCCGATGGAGCTGATTGTAAGAAATCCGAAAATGATTTTCTACGACGATAATCAGAGATCAGGAAATACTTCAGAGAGAAAATCATCCAACTTTCACCCAGAGAGACGATTGTGGATTCATCCAATCACAGCGAGCGATGAGACATCGCAACCCATCAATCACCTGACACTGGAATCCATATATAGTATTGTATATACAGAGAGCGGTGACACTCTGATCTGGAGGGCGGTGATGTCACTCTGTATATAATATATCTGTATTATATCTGGAGGGCGGTGATGTCACTCTGTATAATATATCTTATATCTGGAGGGCGGTGATGTCACTCCTGTATAATATATCTTATATCTGGAGGGCGGTGATGTCACTCCTGTATAATATATCTTATATCCGGAGGGCGGTGATGTCACTCTGTATAATATATCTTATATCCAGCGGTGATGTCACTCTGTATAATATATCTTATATCCGGAGGGCGGTGATGTCACTCTGTATAATATATCTTATATCCGGAGGGCGGTGATGTCTCACTCTGTATAATATATCTTATATCTGGAGGGCGGTGATGTCACTCCTGTATAATATATCTTATATCTGGAGGGCGGTGATGTCACTCTGTATAATATATATCTTATATCTGGAGGGCGGTGATGTCACTCTGTATAATATATCTTATATCTGGAGGGCGGTGATGTCACTCTGTATAATATATCTTATATCTGGAGGGCGGTGATGTCACTCTGTATAATATATCTTATATCTGGAGGGCGGTGATGTCACTCTGTATAATATATCTTATATCCGGAGAGCGGTGATGTCACTCTGTATAATATATCTTATATCCGGAGGCGGTGATGTCACTCTGTATAATATATCTTATATCCGGAGGGCGGTGATGTCACTCTGTATAATATATCTTATATCCGGAGGGCGGTGATGTCACTCTGTATAATATATATATCTTATATCTGGAGGGCGGTGATGTCACTCTGTATAATATATCCTATATCCGGAGGGCGGTGATGTCACTCCTGTATAATATATCCTATATCCGGAGGGCGGTGATGTCACTCTGTATAATATATCTTATATCCGGAGGGCGGTGATGTCACTCTGTATAATATATCTTATATCTGGAGGGCGGTGATGTCACTCTGTATAATATATCTTATATCCGGAGGGCGGTGATGTCACTCTGTATAATATATCTTATATCCGGAGGGCGGTGATGTCACTCTGTATAATATATCTTATATCCGGAGGGCGGTGATGTCACTCTGTATAATATATCTTATATCGGAGGGCGGTGATGTCACTCTGTATAATATATCTTATATCCGGAGGGCGGTGATGTCACTCTGTATAATATATCTTATATCCGGAGGGCGGTGATGTCACTCTGTATAATATATCTTGTCGGTATCCTTGGTGATGCAGAATGAATCGTTCTGTCGGCTCCTCCTGAATATGTGGGATAATCTGCAGAATATATCAATATGGATCTGTCAGGAGGGGGAGGGGACAGAGCGATGTTCTGCAGACCTCTAGAGGGGTCAGTGATGGGATAATCTGCAGAACATCTCGGTCCCTGTAGGCCGGTGGCGGTGCGATGCTCTGCAGACGCGGTGTCGGGGAGCGTGGGCTGTGCGTGTTCTCGGGGTCACTCGCCGGGTAGCAGGAAGGCGCGATGTCTGGACTCCACAATCACATTATCCGTCTTATGTCACTTCTGTGGTTGGAGGGGGCGGAGCCTGCGTTATGATAAAGGTCCGCCCCCAGCTTTTTGTTTCTTTTACAGAACAATGTTGCGTTTGTATAGATTGGAGGAAACGTCGTCTGCTGAAGTTTTATATTTTTGCCTTCCTTGGCTCCTCCTTCATCAGCAGAATACATTTCCGTTTCTTTTCCATATTTTATATTACACCCAGCAATGTGATCACTGGGTCTCTGTGCTTCTCTATGCAATGCAGGTAGATCATGGCTGGTGGAAGGGGCCAGCTTCCTGAAACCATCGCAGCCCCCTTTCTCAGTAGAGCCCTCAGTCTTGATGCAAGCGGTGGGAGGAGTTATGCAAATACAATATTCCTTGATGGTGTCAGTCTGGAGTGGGCGTTCCTAGGCAGGTTTTGGTTACGCCCACATGTGATGCTGAGCCTCCATGATTGACAGAACTGAAATCCAATGACTGAAAGGGGCGGGTCAGGCTGGGGAGGAAAGCGCTAGGTGATGCTGACTGTTTCTCCTGCCAGTAGCACACTTCCTGCCCTCGGGTGACAACGCTCGCTCACCACGTCTATGGAGGGGCAGTGTTGTCACCTGAGGACAGGACTACAGAACCCCTCCCCCCTCCATGTCCAGTAATAATTGAGGTTCCCAGGAAGCATCCGGAATTTTTTATCCATTTTCCAGGAATGATTGCCAGCCGGCTCTGCGTGCGATCGGTCACGCTGCGTCCTCGCTGTGAGATCCGCTCTGCGCGGTTATTGGCGCCTTAAATCACGCCGGATTTACGAGGAACGGACAGTAAAAGCTTCAGCAGGAGCCGCGTTTCCCAGCACCGCCGAGGCTTTCATTTCCTCTTTTCACCAATATTTAACCGGATGGCATTTCTATGGCGGGGGAGGCGGTGGCTCCGCCCACTCACTGTGAACGCGGCGTGCGCTGCTGATGTCAGTCTGCTTGGGGATCTCCTGTCTCTATGTTGGGGGGGGGGGGGGGGGGGACAGTCTGGGAGTTGGGTCCGGAGAACCGGCGACTGGGACTTTGGAAGCGATCTTTAACAGTCTCCTGTAACTAAAGCTGACCGTCCGCCGCGAGATTTATCCATTTACAAAAAAAAAAAAAATTTGTTTTTTTTTTTTAGAAATTTTTCATTTTAAGAACTTTTGTTCAATTTTCTAACCAGCGATGAGAATTCGATCTGCTTCAGAGACGAGGGAGTCCATCTACTGGAAGATCCAACAAAAGGCACCTTCATAAAAATCCAATGTACCGAGAATTCGTTCAAAAATCTGTCATCGTACAGCCAGAGGCGGGCTCTGTAACAAGGACGCGGTCTCTAGAAGTCTCCTGTAACAAGGACGCGGTCTCTAGAAGTCTCCTGTAACAAGGACGCGGTCTCTAGAAGTCTCCTGTAACAAGGACGCGGTCTCTAGAAGTCTCCTGTAACAAGGACGCGGTCTCTAGAAGTCTCCTGTAACAAGGACGAGGTCTCTAGAAGTCTCCTGTAACAAGGACGCGGTCTCTAGAAGTCTCCTGTAACAAGGACGCGGTCTCTAGAAGTCTCCTGTAACAAGGACGCGGTCTCTAGAAGTCTCCTGTAACAAGGACGCGGTCTCTAGCGGTCTCTTGTAACAAGGACGCGGTCTCCTGTAACAAGGACGCGGTCTCCTGTAACAAGGACGCGGTCTCCTGTAACAAGGACGCGGTCTCCTGTAACAAGGACGCGGTCTCTGGCGGTCTCCTGTAACAAGGACACGGTCTCTAGAAGTATCCTGTAACAAGGACGCGGTCTCTAGAAGTCTCCTGTAACAAGGACGCGGTCTCTAGAAGTCTCCTGTAACAAGGACGCGGTCTGTAGAAGTCTCCTGTAACAAGGACGCGGTCTCCTGTAACAAGGACGCGGTCTCCTGTAACAAGGACGCGGTCTCTAGTAACAAGGACGCGGTCTCTAGTAACAAGGACGCGGTCTCCTGTAACAAGGACGCGGTCTCCTGTAACAAGGACGCGGTCTCCTGTAACAAGGACGCGATCTCCTGTAACAAGGACGCGGTCTCCTGTAACAAGGACGCGGTCTCCTGTAACAAGGACGCGGTCTCTGGCGGTCTCCTGTAACAAGGACGCGGTCTCTGGCGGTCTCCTGTAACAAGGACGCGGTCTCTGGCGGTCTCCTGTAACAAGGACGCGGTCTCTGGCGGTCTCCTGTAACAAGGACGCGGTCTCTGGCGGTCTCCTGTAACAAGGACGCGGTCTCCTGTAACAAGGACGCGGTCTCTGGCGGTCTCCTGTAACAAGGACATGGTCTCTGGCGGTCTCCTGTAACAAGGAAGCGGTCTCTAGAAGTATCCTGTAACAAGGACGCGGTCTCTAGAAGTCTCCTGTAACAAGGACGTTGTCTCCTGTAACAAGGACTCGGTCTCCTGTAACAAGGACGCGGTCTCTGGCGGTCTCCTGTAACAAGGACGCGGTCTCTGGCGGTCTCCTGTAACAAGGACGCGGTCTCTGGCGGTCTCCTGTAACAAGGACATGGTCTCTGGCGGTCTCCTGTAACAAGGAAGCGGTCTCTAGAAGTATCCTGTAACAAGGACGCGGTCTCCTGTAACAAGGACGCGGTCTCTAGAAGTCTCCTGTAACAAGGACGCGGTCTCTGGCGGTCTCCTGTAACAAGGACGCGGTCTCTGGCGGTCTCCTGTAACAAGGAAGCGGTCTCTAGCAGTCTCCTGTAACAAGGACGCGGTCTCCTGTAACAAGGAC